CCTGGACGCTTGGAAGAGACCATGGCCCCAGTCTTAAAATCCAACCAAAATGCAGAGCACATCCAAAGCAATCAAGTAACACGGAAGCCAGTTTTTGAGGAAGATGAAATAGTTTGAAGCGGTTTCACCTCTCATAGGGCGATTCTGCATCTGGCTTTCGCTCTACATTTTCTCAGATGGGAAGAAAAGGTGCAGCTCAAAACAACATTCAAATATCTTGGGGCAACGCCATACTGACTGCAAAGTCACCCCTGAGTGGCCATAAATTTATGCAGAAGGTACCATAAAACCTGATGATCAAAGAAAGTGAAAGTTGCATGGAGTGTGGAGGGTACCATAAAATCCGATGATCAAAGAAAGTGAAAGCAGCATGCAATACAGAGGAGAATTTCTGTTCCAATGTTGGTTTGGTAAAACAACGGAGGGAAAAGCCAATGCAGAATCATCCATAGTGGGTATATCCATGCTGCTTTTATCTCACAGGTCAAACAGGCTTGGAAAACAGTATCAAAACCATGCTAATCTGAGACAACAGTGAGTGACGAGCACATAGGCAATCATTTCTCCTTCCAACTGCCTTCAGTCCTTGGGAGGAAAAAAAAACTTATTGTCTGTCTCCAGCCTAAGTAGGAAGCTTGTTAATGGTTGCTGAACAAGTGCAAAATCAATGAACAAAATGGTTATTTCAGAACTGAGAATCTGCATTGTTCCAGCCTCAGTCCTAGAGACCGTCTTCTTCCTTACCTAGAATACGGTATACAGTCTCTTTCCCCCCCCCCACCCCCGTTCCAGATTTGCAGTTTAATAACCTTCCTTCAAGCAGCTAAAACTAGGGAATACTTAGTACTGTACTTTTTGGAAAGGGCAGAGGATGCGACGGCTCCTCCATGAATGCCTGTGTGTGATTTGTCTGCCTGCCCCCAATGAGCCTCTCTGTCCCAGCAAAATGGGGAGATAAATGACTAGCAAGCAGCTGGGAGGGCCAACAAACAGCCCATTGAGAAAGCACGAGGCCACTGACACTCGGTTCCTCTCCCAGGCAGAGCCCAGCCTGCGGTTTTCTTATGCTCTGGGCCTTCACATCCATTTTGGCCTTCCTCAGACCACAACCCTTCTCCGGGGAGAAACCTGTAATACCCTATCTACCCCAGGAACACAGACTGGATTAATCTTGAACTACTGAGGTTTCCTCCTGGAATCCTGGGAATTGTAGTTTGGGGAGGCTGCTGAGAATTCCATTCAGCAACCTCCTTGCAGGGGGAAAAAAATACAATTCCCAGGGTTCCACGGAGAGAGGGAATGCTTAGCCAAGGCACTGAATTCTGCAGAGTAGGTATGCACTTGGAAATAGGAGCCAGTCATAGTTGGATGCTCATATGCACTTTGGAAAGCCAGAGGTCAAAGGAAGACATGGGGTCCCCACTGGAGGGGGGGATAAGTGGAGTATAGATGGATAAATAACTAATACAGGTAAGTTAAGATGCTGAGGCCACTCTCTGTTCTGGATTGGCTGAGCAACGAACCTTCCTGAAACCACAACATTCTAGTATCAAAGCAGCCTGGGACTGTAGTCCTAAACACAGCTTGTTGTCTTTTTTTTTGCCATCAGATCACAGCTGATTTATGGCAACCCCATGGGGTTTCAAGGCAAGAGGCATTCAGAGGTGGCTTGCGATTGCCTGCCTCCGTGTCATGATCCTGGTATTCCTTGGTGGTCTCCCATCCAAATACCGACCAGGTCCGACCCTGCTTAGCTTCCAAGACCTGATGAAATCAGACTAGTGTGGGCTCTCCAGGTCAGGGGAAACAGAGCTACGGCCTATTTATTTATTTGCTTTATTTACACTCCGCCTTTTGCACCGAGCCCCAAGTCAGATTACAGGATATACAAGAGAGGAATCAGACAGTATAAAACAGCCAACAAACAATGCAATAAAACTAAGAATTACAGAACTGTGGAAAATACTAACTAAAGCAAGGTATACTCTAAACAAAACGGAAAATGGACTGCAAGACCTCAAAAGCAGGAAAGCATTGCCGGTAGTTATTGCAATGGGCTACACTGCTGTTCCCTGACGGAAGTGCCCTCCGTTCCATTCTATTACAGATCTATTCCCATTCTTTTTTTAAAAAAATGTCCTCTTAAACATTACTCTTTTGTACTTTTCTACAAAACGACAAAAGCATAGGAACCTTCCTTGACCTCCTCGGAGAGGGCTGTGCCACAAGGTGGGAGTCACCCAGGGTTGCCAGCTCTGGTCTGGGAAATTCCTGGAGATTCAGGGACATTACGCGGTGAAGACAGAATGTGGGGAGGGAGCTTACAGAAGATGTGATCTCACAGAATCTGCCGTCTGCAGCTGCCATTTGCTCCAGGGAACCTGACCTCTGTCATCTGGAGATCAGCCGTAATGGAAGAACTCCAGCCCCATCCTGGAGGTTGGAAACCCTAGAATGCACATGAATGGGCAGTTGTTGGCCTTACCCAGTCATAGGGCAGCGCCTTCAGAAGGCTTTGCCATTGAAGTCACACGTGCAATACAAGGAGGTGGCAGAACGGAGGCTTCTGACTGACGGGGGGGAGGGCAGACCCCAGCTTTCAATGTTCCTGAAGGAACCTAGCACAGCAAGGAGAAAACGTTTTGCCTCCTTGGTTTTCTGTGCTGTTTTGCTATCTGCAGCTGGCCCGTAGCCCAGCCCCCTTGTGTTTCTTTGGGGGGGCCTTCCTCCCGGGCGGCCCCCAAGGTGCCACAACTTGCCACTTGCACTGTGCTTTGATTTAATTAGCTGGTGGGCCCCCCCAAGGCCCCCTCCCAAAAAATTCTCTAGCTATGGGGCTGATCTGCAGGGAGGTTTTTTTGGGTTGTTTTTTTTTTTTTACAAACAACAACACAGGGCATTCCAATATAGGATCCCACCAAGACCCCCTAACTGCAGTGGCATAAGCCATGCTACCGACTCATTCTCCTGCATGCATGAGCCGGGCCTTAACATCATGGCTGGGGGAAGGAATGGAAGGCAAAACCCATCAGACTGGAACTGACATGAACGTAAGACTGAGAGGCTGTTTTCAAAACCAGGACTCCATCCCAGAACTCATAAAGCAATGTTCAAAGATCTTCACCACGTGCCTTCATCTCTCCAAGGATCCAGCAGAACACCCGTCGCCACATCTCCGGGGTAAGAGCAGAAGGGCCCCTGAGACGACGCAGCAAGACTTCCGTACAGACTTCCCACCCCGAGGCCCCAAAGGCAATGCTCTCCTAAGAAATTAAAAACGGCTTGAAGGGCATTTCGTCCATCTCTAAAAGCCGCAGGGTATCACAGGAAGGAAACAGAAAGTAACCGGAGGTTTAGCTTGTGCAATGAAGGTTTCCCTTGCTCGAAAGCCAGTCGAATCCAGCTCTAGGGGGAGGTGCTCATCTCCGTTTCCAAGCCGAAGAGCCAGCGCTGTCCGAAGATGTTTCCGTGGTCACGTGGCTGGCATGACTAAATGTTGAGGCGCATGGAACACCATTATCTTCCCACCGAAGTGGTACCTATTTATCTACTTGCAATTTCTTGCTTTCGAACTGCTAGGGTGGCAGGATGTACAATGAAAGAGATGGCCAATTAAGACAGGTCTAGTGGCCTGCAGCAAATCGGCAGAACTACCCAGGAATACACCCAGAGGGTTTTTTAAAGCCCCGAAAGAGCCATCCACTGCCCTACATTTGGCCCACTTCTGCATTCACAGGTGTGGTTTGGTACACTGGCCAATCGGAGTAGCTGACATTTAACATCACACAACCTTTGGTGCAGCTTCAGGCAGCGAAGACGATGGGGCTCTGTGTCTGGACCCACCCCGATGATCTCAGACATCTCCAATAAAGGGATGCCCAGAGATCATCCTCCAAGGAAACCCCCACCTGCTCCTCGGCTATGCTCCAGGTATCTGGAACCTCACCTCCGTTGCCCACATGGGCCATGGTGCCCAGGTCTCTGATTTTGTTTGGGGACTGAAAAGAGGTTGGCTGGACTGTCTGGCACAGAAGTGGCCCATCTGTATAGAAGCCACCTGTATTATGTCTCAGAGCAAAAAGGGCACAAGATTTAAAAAAAAAAAAGTTCATCAGAATTCATCAGAGGTGCCCCAGGAGTGAAAGATTGATTTGATATTAACAGATTCTGGCAGAGACTGAGCAAGGGGGGAAAGGGGGGGGGGGAGAAGGAGGGGAGGAAAACACCACAGACGTCTGGGAGACATCAGAGTCCTGGAAACCAGAGAGAACCACAGGCTGGCACAGAAACTGGCAGGCTACGCCACCCGGCTCCTTCCTCACAACCCGGTCTCCAGACACGGCTGCCCTCTCTGCCTGAAGCGCTTTCGGAGCAAAGCCGGCATCTCTGCACAGCACACACAGAAACTCCATCGCCAACTGTCTGGCACCTGCTTCTCCTCGCGGCCCCACACCCTGGCACCGAGACAAACCTGCCAACGGAACCGCCTGGCACCGGAGACCTCCAAAGGCTCTCTCTCTCTCTGTGCCTTTCCCCCTCCCCTCGCCAGCAACCCACATTCCACCGCTGGTTACAGCAGCAGCAGCAGCAGCAGAATTCGTTCGCAAACGTTCCTCTGCAGATACCCACCGCGTTCTAAGTGGCCCCAGCCACTTCCCCCCCCACCACAGCACAACAGCAACATTTTGCCCCCCCTCCCTCCCTCCACATCACAAACACTCTCATTCCTCCCAGCAGTTAGAGATGCCCCCCAATCAAGGGAGCAGCCAGCCAGTCGGAAGCCGGTACCCAGCCGGGCATCTCTTCCAAACCCCTACACCACAATCTTTGCCAGAGAAGCAGCCGAGGCCAACCTGAAGCAACTGTTGTGTGCCACCCCCCCCCCACACACACACACAAGTCATCCCCCTGGAACCGACACGCACCTCCCCAGGAGGCAAATATCGTCGCACACTCAAGAAGCCCCCCCCTTGCAAAAAAAAAAAAGCATCTGCTCCTACCTGAGGATGGCGCTCTCCCCTTGCCTGACGGTCACGTTATCCATCGCCTTGGGGAAGGTGGCATCTCCGCTGCGCACGGGCACTCCTGCGGGCACAAGGAAGAGCAGCCTGAGACACAGGACCACCACGCAGCGCCACGGCAGGACCAGGCACCTGCCGACCCCCATCCTGGGCAAAGACTCTCCGCCAGGCACAGACAGGCAATGGTGTCGGGGAGGGGAGGGGGGAGTCGGGCTTGGCAGCTCAGCAGAGTCCCCAGAGGCGATCCAGAGGTGGAGACCCCCAGCCCAGCCCCCCCAAAGAGCTTCCAAGAGTCTCTGCCGGGTGGTGGGAGGGGGGGCGATGCCAGGAGCGGAGGCGAGCCCCGGCGAGGCGAAGGTCACGGCTGTGCCACCCTGGTCCCGTCGAGGCCCCGGGAAGAACCCGCCGGGCACGCGCCGCGCAGTAGCAGCAGCAGCAGCAGCACCAGCCGCCGCCGCTCGGGCATCAAAAGTTTATAACCCAGGCAGGAGGAGTCGCAACTCGCGCCGGCAGGGCAGAGGAGGGGAGCGGAGGGCGCGCCGGGGCGGGCGGCTGCAGGCTGGGGGAGCCGAGCGCCGGGGACGA